AAAAATTAATTTTTATATCGCCACATTTTTAATTAAAACATATTCTTTTCTCTCGCTTCGTCCGCCATTACTAGCTTAAAAAAATCTCTGGTCGAGCCGCAATGCATTATGGGATATGCTGGGCCGGGAAGGATCCATCAGACCTGTCCTTCGATTTGGGCCAAAGGAAGGACGAATTTGTCGGCCGCATCGGAGGAGTCTTCGGTTTTGGACGTCCTTCGTRGCGGCGCTATGACGRATGCGGCCGAAGAATTCGGCCTTCGGAGGACCCGGCCTGCCATTTTGGACACAAGCCTATATGTTCGATAAAGCCAGAAGCTTAAATTTATATCTATTMGTTTGTGTTGTTGTTGTTTCTGTTGACAGGTTAACATGGTGATTGGCATTTTAGTGTTTAATAAACTCGTGTCCAGAGATGGAATCCTGGACAAGAAGATGAAGCATCGAGCAGGGTATGACAGCACGTCCTTGTTAGTACCTGCTTTTTTTACCTTCTACACTTTTTCAACATTATTCAAAAATATAATGCATGCTTTGATTGCATAAATGTATGAAAGCAGAGGAAGAAATCGAGGCATAAACATAAAGAGGTCGGAACCCTCTCGGGAACGACGTGCCTTCGTCTTTCTTTGGCAGAATCAGGATGAAAATCATTACGACGCCCACTCTCTGTCGGCCTCTGCCGCTGCTGTTAATGTTGTTGAGAGGATTTGAAGGCAGGTGGATGTTTGGTGTTGTTTGTCACGATGGTGTCTCGATGTTTCTGTGTCCCACAGACAGATGAGCGAGCCGCATACCGGATTAACTCTCAAGTGTGCCAAATGCGGTGTTGTATCAACAACTGCTTTATCAGCAACTACAGCCAGCAACGCAATGTAAGTGCCTGTCAGTGTCTGTGAATCAATAAAACGATGCTGCAGGGAGTCTTTTTTTTTTCATATACAACGTGTCCACTGCTACAGTCCACTGTGAAGTGCTCTATATTTAGGTTCTGGTTGCATTCTCGGCGCATCAGAACTCTGGCATAGACGTAGTCTTTAAATGCCTTACAGAAACATTGGTATGCAGTTAACAGCCTGGAGATTCCACTCAGCTCTCCAGACCTTATCTTGTTTACCCTCCCCCTCCTCTCTCCTCACACACGCAAACCTTCCCGTCTTCTTCCAGGGCGTCCTTGTGGAGCTCATGTGTCGTCCTACCTCTGCTGGCTTTGACCTGGATGTCTGCAGTGCTGGCCATGACAGACAAACGCTCCATCCTCTTTCAGATCCTCTTCGCCGTCTTTGACTCCTTGCAGGGTTTCGTCATCGTGATGGTGCACTGCATCCTACGGCGAGAGGTAAAGGAGACGTTCGGGTTTACCTTGGTTCTTCCTGTTATCGATCTTTAAAATTATTTTTAAAATAGAGCCAATCGCCCCAGTACCATTTAACTTTCTAATAAGTTCTAAACCAGAAGTGCACAAAGTGGGGCTTGCAGGCCAAAAMTGGCCCGCCAAGCCATTTGATCTGATCCCACCAGCAGTTGTCCTGGTTATTAGATTGTAATCTCCTGTCCTGTGTAGAAACTAGGGCTGCACGATATTAGGAAAACCTGCGATGTGCGATAGCAGTGCTTATTATTGCGATGACGTTATGACTTGTGATAAATGAAAAAATATGTATGTATATGTAGTGTTGATATCTTTCTGCTCCGGGTTCAAAGCCCAAAAAAAAACATWAAAAATAATCATTTCCATTCCAGCCTGATTTCTTTTTAAATTGACCAGATACATGAAGGGCTCTGAAATATTTCAAGCTTCCATCTYAATGACAAAARGCATAAATGCAAGTTTTTGAGTCAACCATTTATTGCAGTTTATGCAYTTGTTGCGATATGCATATTGCACAGYCTATTATCGCAYTGACGATAAATTTTCGATATATTGTGCAGCCCTAGTAGAAACGCTGTTTCTACTTTTCAACCATTGGTCCAACTATAGGTACAAGGAGCTGAAGTCAGATAGTCTTAACTCATGGTACTCACTTTATTTTTGAATTATGTTAAGATTAAACATAAAATACAAGTAAGTACAAGAGAAATTTAAATTAGATTTAAGCACACATCTAGATTTGCACACCCTGTAAGATCACATATACTTAAATTTTAATTCATGAAAAGTCCCATGAGCATTTGCTGCCTGAGTATATGTTGAATTTTCTCCATGTCCATGGGCTGAAAAAAAAAAGAAGAAGTATGTGGGCAACCGCACTGGCTGCTAGCTTATTCATAAAAATAAAACAACTTTACTTAAGAAGTATTTGCATTCCGTGTATTATATTATTGTATTTGTCCCACGGCCCTCAGATTAATGTTAATTTTGGCCCTCTCAGGGAACAAGTGTGGGCACCTCTGTTCTAAACCAATGATGCTATCTATACAAATCCCTTTAAAACACTCGATTTGACATGTTCTACCTGTTTAGGTTCAAGATGCGTTCAGATGTCGGCTGAGAAACTGCCAAGATCCGATCAGTGGTGATGCAACAGGAACCTTCCCTAATGGGCATGCTCAGATAATGGTAGGCCCAGTTACCCCTGTTATCTGCAACCATTAGAGACTCTGTAATTTCAACAGGCTCATATGTCCCCTTGTTATTTATAATACGCATGCACAGCCCATCTGCTCCCCACTAACCTTGATTTAACTTATGRGCTGTCTGTGCTTTCGTTGTCTATTACGTTGTTTTATTTTTCCAGTTTGACGTGGCCTCTACACTTCGCAGCATCGTGCTCATTAGATTTTTGATATTCCATATGCTATTTTTACCTGCAGTTATAGCAACTCAAACCTATGATGAATTTCATTGGTTCCTTTTGGTTTTTAAAAGCCCCACGCCCCATTTTTTCRTGATTAATTAATCTGACTGTCGATGTTTTCCGTGCATTTCTCCCATGTCCTGAGACAATACAGGAGTGTTTTCAGCCAACTTTTGAATTAGGACACTACTATTTTCATCCTGCAAACTATAACCCTGATTTATTTGGATTCTAATACTTCCCTTTGAGTAAAATCATTTTCACAGAACCGTGTCAAGGCTGCTCCGTTCAATAGTTCTCACCAGTAAGCTCAAACGCTTCTCAAACGCCTCAGCAGCACTTTTTTTTTAATTGATATGTTGCTGTCTTCCAGTAAAGAAAAATAAATTCCCAAGCAAAAACGCATACTGATTTTCAGCTCATTATAGCTAAGCTCCGCCCTTTTTTGTATGTTATTGAAAAGATATACACTGACCGTTTGACTGTTTTCTGCCTTACAGACAGATTTTGAGAAAGATGTGGACATCGCCTGCCGATCAGGTACAGAACAGATGGTTTCCATTTCAAAAAATATATAATTTTTATACAGTAGTTTTAGAATAACAAATAATTGACATATGACTTTTTTCAGTTACCAAAACACCTACTTTTTTCTGTGAACAAAATATTCAAAACAGGTTTTTGCTATTTGTTTAATTTTTATTATATTTGCTGTATTTTGGTCCCGAATTTATGTACGGCAGATAGTAGTGCTGCAGTCTAAGAGAAAAGCAGTGTATACATCATTCTGTTAGGGTTCTGTTTGTTTATCTAATGTTCTTTTAGACCTTTTGTGAAAATACATTCAATTCTTAGTGATTTATGAATAAAAGATTAAAACGTTCAGTTGGGACAAGGAGGAGCTCTTCCATTCAAAGGTTATTCCTGAATAAATAACACTTGTATTTTGGAATACGTGGTGCATTACAAGGTCATCACCAATGTGTCAGCATTATAGGACATCTCYCACTGTATGGCAGAGGGGATTTCTGGGAGAGAATGGAACCAGAATTGCTTATTTGCAATAACATTCTCCAGAGACTCCAGTGTCTGCTATTTTTGTGTAATTTGTGTAATTCACACTCATAAGATTTTCACAGTTATTCATCTTGTCATTACAGTTTTCCCTAAGCAGCAAAAATTCCTTAGAGTATTCCTTAATATTWATTTGAATTCTCTTGTTGTTTCGGTCACATGCGTGAAAGTCTAAAACAAACAATGYAGCCGGGTTTTGTGACTAATCCTCGTATCACCCTGTCCTTCAGCTCTCCACAAAGACATGGGCTCTTGTCGCGCCGCCACCATAACCGGAACCCTCTCCCGTATTTCCCTCAATGACGAGGAGGACGAGAAGGCGCCCGAGGGCCTCAACTACTCCACGTTGCCCGGCAACATCATCTCCAAAGTGATCATCCAGCAGCCTTCAGCCCTGCACATGCCCATGGGACTGGGCGAGCTCAAAGACCAGTGCTTGTCGGACAGCGGCGCCGACATGCGCCGCGCCGTCTACCTGTGCACCGACGACGCCCTGCGCCAGAGCGACCACGACATGGGCGCCCACGACATGGACGGCCATCCGGGGCAGGGCRCGATGATGGAGACGGACTACATCGTCATGCCCCGCGCCTCCGTGGGCGCCGTGTCGGGGTCGGCCACGTTGCCCACCCTCATCAAGGAGGAGACCAAGCTGACCACGGGGATGGAGACACTGCCGCACGAGAGGCTAAAGCACTACAAGATCAGCCCCGACTACAGTATCGGCTCGATGGGCATGGACCACATGAATGTGAACCTGGAGCAACAGTACCCCAGTGCTCCAGAGCAAATGCAAAACCTGCCCTTTGAACCCCGTACTGCTGTTAAGAACTTCCTTGCTGAGATGGAAGAAACCGGGGGTCTTTCTAGGAGCGACACTGGATCTACAATATCTATGAGCTCCCTAGAGGTACATATAACATGAAGATGAAATACAGAAAACATGCTAATATTAAAAACTGACAACCTAATAAGTTGACTTCTTTATATTTGACTTTTACAGAGAAGAAAGTCGAGATATTCTGATTTGGACTTTGAGGTATGTAAGTGGTTATGTGTTTTCTGAAGTCAACGCAGAAAAAAATCCCATTTTTGCTGTTGTGTTAGCCATTTGATTTACTAGTACTCGTGCCTCTTAAGCTTATTGAAGCTGCACAGCCTTGACTCATCTGGATTTYTTGACATACTGCGTAGTTAAAGTAAAAGCAAGGCTGTCAGCTGACAAACAGGGCAGTAGTCTTCATCAACATCCTATCCTCCTCCATCTCCTTCCATCCATTAGCTATATGTTGATTTTCAAACTTTATGCTTTTAAATTCATTTGCGCATTTCACGTCTGATTTCATCACTGGTCAGCAATGATTATATTGGCTTGCAAAACACACATTTTTACCATTTCCTTTGCATTGTTAAAAACATGCTTTACTGCATATATATGTATAAACTCAGTCAAAATACAGGAAACGAGAAGCTGCCGGGAGCTATTTTGGCATTGGTCACATTTTCTTTAAGCTTAGATGCACACCACTGCTTTAAAATGGACAACTTGTGCCAAGGTTTGATCACAAGGATTTCCCTTACACCAACAAAACTCCAAATGAAGTCATTTATCACAGAAGAATTATGTTTGGCCGTTTGGTATCCTCTAAAACGACAATTAATTATCTTGGTGTTTCCTTTATTTTGGCAGTCATTGGTATATATGCAGAGGCAAGTAAAATTGTTTCAGTCCTGGCCTATAAGTAAACTACCATGACACTTACAAATTGATCAGCGTTTGGAGGGGATGGAGAGGGAAGATGCATTTCCATTATTGGCTGTCAATACCAAAGAAAAAACCCTTGCCATTGCAGAAAGTCATGCACACCAGGAAAAGACACATGGAGCTGTTCCAGGAACTGAATCAGAAATTTCAAACCCTGGATCGATTTCGAGACATACCAAATATGGGCACCATGGTGAGTAACAGGAAACCAGGGGGGTGGCTGTCTGCTAATTAAAGAGAGCAACATCCAAATACTCTTATTTAGATATTTGGTGCGGAACACATTCTGTGTGATTGTGCAAATGAGTGGGTATGTAGCAAACGTGTGCCTTCGTATATGTAACGAGCCTGACGGCAGCCGAGGGACTGCCTTCTATAAGCACTGATGCGTTTTCTCCATGAGGCCAAATCTCAAAGAGGAAAAAGACCTTTGGAAGTTTTGCTACAGTGGAGTGCATCCATTCCAATGCAAGGCCATGAATACACTTTTATTTACATGCACATTTATCTACTTAGCCAACCCATTCCTTTTTTTTTCGTTAATGCATGGCAGATTATTTATTCTATCAGCATCTATACAAATATTACCCTAATGTGGCTGCTCTCTCACAGCAACTTTATGTTCAATCAATCTAGAAGTCAGGCTAATTAAGCTTGCTGCAAACTAAAAGTCTGCCCGTCAGTCTCCACACCTGGCTGGAGCTGTAGACAAAGAGTACATCAGGCCTAATCTGTCTGTTTTAGATGAGCAGCAGGTTTATCTTTTCCTTTTTTTTATAAACCCTTTAAAAAATAGTCAGATGTAAATCCAAAAAAAAAAAAAATTTTGCCACATCATTTTGTTTATGATATATTTTTTGTATCAAATCTGATACACTGGGCTGTTTTGGTGCCATTTTGCTCACAACAAAGTTAAATTAAGAAACAAAAGACAGTTTTGCCCATAACTTATAACAAGTTTAGAACACTCTAGGAGGTTTATTTCTTTGTTATTTTTACAATGAAGTTTTTACAGCCATTTATTTCACTTCCTGGTAGGCACAAAAACAGTTTCTGTCCCTGTTCAAGCACAGATGTACCTTATAATTTATAAAAAATTGCCATCTATTATCAAATTGATGACATTTTCTTACTTTCTTTTTTTCCTCTCTTCTTCCTCAATTGTCTTTGACATCTAACATGTAAATAATTAGTCAGTACAGCATAGAGATTATAATTTCAAAGGAACCACTTTGAAAATAGCCAAAATGTGTTTTCAAATGGCATTTCAGTAATTAATCAATCATCCAAAATAGTGTGTAGTTGTATTGTGGCAAGAATACTGTTGATTAAATTACTAAAATTACTAAAATGCTACATGACAATTCAGGACTGGAGCACCTTACTGCAGTATCAAGTTTGAAACACATTTTTAACACGGTTTAACTGTACTATTAAAAAATATTTTTAAGTAATTATGCATTGTTTCAACACAGAAAGTATTTCTTTAAAAAATACAAACAATATTGATGTTATTCTTACCATAACATCTCCAAAATTAGCAAAAGTTTTCCTGAAAAAAATATGTGGATGACCTCATGTCAGCAGACATTTTGAAAAGGCAAAAAAAAAAATAAATAAATAAAAGAGGTTCCACTTCCTGCAGTACATTGTTAATCCACTAGAGGGCAGAATACAGGTCTCACATGATATGCAACAGGTTTTTGAGGAGAATATTGATCACAATGATAAAATATAGGTCATAGAATCCTGCGTAGCAAATATGATACAAATAGCGATATAGTTAAACTTAACGCGACATACTGTATAGCAATTTAGCTGACGGACAAAGACAGAACATTAGAACATGTCAATTGTGCATTAGCCTTTTGGGTTGCGCATGATTCTTTTCCGACATATTTCAATCCCCCCGCTGCAATACAGTACAGTTTGCCAACTGTTGCTTAGTTACAGTGAAAGCTCTTTCTTATCGAAAACAATAATTATGCAGTAGCCTTTTTTTTAGCTTAAAACTGCAGAGCTGGCAGCAAACATTAGGAGCCATTCTATCTTCCCAGATGGGGGAGCAGCTTCTTTCCCTGATTTGCTCTTGTGTCTTTGGGACAGTCAATGAGAGCCCATTCAGATGAATGAATGGCTCACACACGCAGCACACATCCAGTGTGTTTGTTTCTGAGCCAGGGGAAACCGCAGATCTGCTCATGTTAATAGTTTAAGCATGTTCCCATTTAATACACTGCCATTATCTTTTGTTATTTGATGCTTCTCTCAGCATTAATCCATTATTTTCAATTAGCGATGGTAGCAGTTCATAAATAATGCCCTTATGAATAAATTGACTTGACCAAAAAAAGTCAATTTTGAGTGAAAAGTAGCAATTTAGCCACAGCGGGATTTGACGCTACTAATGCTGCATGCTGTTGGCCCTCTTCGCAGGACAAGGCAATGCCAAAACAGAACCCATGGGAGAGCTACAATCCAGCCTGTGAGTACCAGAACTACGCCACTATGAATGTACTAGAATCTGACACCAAGGACTCACTGGAGATGACGCCCGCAGAGTGGGAGAAGTGTGTCAACTTACCCTTGGATGTACAGGAGGGAGACTTCCAAACAGAAGTCTAGACGGAGCAGAAGGAGGGACAAAAAAATGCAAACTCGGAGAGGAGGAAAAGGGATGTATTTTGCACTGAATAAAGCAACAGACTTTTCTAACAGCCTTGGCAAACATATCTGGATCTTACGAGTGTGGCAGGGACATTATGTGCCAATACAATATAAGGACTGGTGAGAGAGACAGAGAGAGAGAGAGTGAGAGAGAGAGATGGAAAAAAAAGAGAAAATAAAGGGATAAAAACATCAGTGTTACTTTTTGTATTCTCACTAGTGTACTTAGTGTGGGGCAGCCTGGTGTACAATATTTACCATCATGTGTTTCAAATTATCCGTCGAGAAATTGGCTTAAAAAAAAAACAGAAAAAACTGTAAACTCTCTAGATGAAACCTCACAAAGCAAATGACATTTCAGGCCATGTCGTCCCAGCTTCATCGAGTCCAGTTTTGATTTCCAAAAAACTGGACCCGGGAGCACAATGTATATACTTATGCAGTTTTTAAAAGTTTATAACAGTCTGTTTGGCCATTACTACACTTTTTACTTTATAATACAAAACATGGGAGGCAAAGAGGATTTTTTCCTGTCATATTAAAATGAATGTTTGTCAAGCTACATTCTTCATTGCTTTAAATGCAATAAAGATAATACTCACTTTTATATAAATAATATATTTCACAACTTTAATACTGCAGAATCTGCTTGAAGGATCCCGGCAAGCTCTCTCATCTGCAGCTCTGTATAAAATATTTAAAAACAAAATGTTGTATGGTGTAAATAAACTTTTGTCTACATATGTTTTACTTGTGCCAATTTATTTTAATGAGAAAAAAAATGCCAACCTGACCAGAAATTATAGCGAAAAATGTTAACATTTGAAAAGGAATGTAAATAAAAGAGGAAATATGTTCGTACTGCTTCAGAGCTCGTGTCGATTTTATGGTGTGTGTTGGTTGTGGAGTGCATTGCTCATCGCTGTTTGAATGCTTATGATTCACATGATGMACATAACAGGAACACTACTCCAAACTGAGGCTGTTCAAAAGGCAACAGAATGATTGTTTAAAGATGTGAACTATTGATTTAAAGAGATCCATGATTAGTTATAACTTTAGACTTTATTTAATAAAAAAATATTTTAACTGTAAAAGACTAAAAATACTGTAGGATGCTAAGTTTTATCATTTTTAAAATAAATAAAAATATATTACACAGACGGGGCCATTTTATTTACACACAAAGCATTCTGGGTAAATGATGATGTGGATAGGTCATTAGTGCGAGGATGCTAGCGAGCTATATCCACCCTGAAGGTTAATCTTGGACAATATCTGACGATCAGCTCTTTTAAATGAAACCACAGAGCGTTGACAGAGAGGAGAAGGTAGAAARGACTCAGCCTGTAACTGAAAATATAGATGGAGGACAACAGAGCTGCTTCATGGAAGAAGAACCTCAGCTTAGCCTGTTAGCTTTAGCGTTAGCCCCGATGCTATCACCATATATATGTATTAGCTCAGCGCTACACATTCTCCTCTCATCACTGAGGTCCTCCAGGCCATGACATGACAGAGAGGGGAACACAAAAATGACTGCAGTTTAGCCCTAAGTTTAGCTTGTTTGTCGAGCTAGCGCAAAGGCTGGCCAAGCTGAGGTTCTTCTTCCATGAAGCAGCTCTGTTGTCCTCCATCCATATTTTCAGTTACAGGCTGAGTCGTTTCTACCTTCTCTCCTCTGTCAATGCTCTCTAGTCTCATTTAAGAGTCGATCATCAGATATTGTCCAAGATTAACCTTCAGAGTGGATATAGCTTGCTCACACTGAGGACCTATCGATGTCATCATTTACCCAGAATGCTTTGTGTGTAAAAAAAATGGCTCCGTCCGTGTTAAAATATATTTTTAAAAATTTACAAAACTAAACAGCCAACAGTATTTTTACATTGCTGTTAAAATATATATGTTTTTCCAAATAAAGTCTAACATTACAACTAATCYGGGATCCCTTTAAGACTGAAGTAGCCGAACCAGTGAGTCTCACAAACCTTCCCTTTGCAGCTTACAGCTCCCTGCCTCACCCCACAAAAATCTACCCAATTTATTCAGCTTCGAAATTTAACTAACATTAAAACTTTTGATATGTCCCTGAGCCAGCAGTGGGTTCTGATCCGATCAGCTCCCTCAGTGAGCCAGGTCCAGACGGAGCACTAATGGGAGGAAGCTGCCAGAGTGGAGGGCAAAAAATCTTGTTTGTACTGTCTGGTGTTCTGTGCACCYTGGCTGGCACTCTGGCAACAAGAAGAGCGCCGTGAGCTCCTCTTCCCTTTTCGAGAAGCAGAGAGGCACACCGAGGAGGACGAGAGGAAGAGCCAGGAGGAGGAGGAAGGAGACGAGGCTTTACAGTTTGTGAAGAAAGAGGACCAAAAAATAAAAAAATAGGGAAAAATGTTGGAACCAGACAAATAAGCAGGCATAAATGAGGACTCACAACTGATGTCGCAACAGAAAATGATTAAACAGAGCTAATTGAGACATCAGTGTCTGGATTTACAGTGCTTAACAGTTTAGACATATTTAGGTTAAATATATACAATAGTCTTACAGGTTCTGCTAGGATTTCAGCCTCCTTTTTTAATGAGAAGCCAGCATCCTGTGGGGTGCCTTTAAACATGTTGTCACTTCCCTGCTGCCTCTGTTTATACCTTTTCATGCTGGAGACCTTCTCATAGAAGTGATAAGCTTTAGTCTCAGGGATAAAAGCCTATAAACACACTCAGGGAGCCGAGGTGCATTTATGAGGTGGTTATATAGGACATGGTGTTGTTTCTAACATTTTCTGTGATTTAAGGGGGTATTATGTGTTTTCAGGGCATTTAATTCTGTACCACAATCAAGTAACTTTGTTGCCTTCAGTTTTTTTGAAAATGTATCAAAAATAAATTTGACTTTGCATCACAGCCTATCTAAATGGTAAAATGGACTGAACTTATGGGGCTTTATCAAGTCCCTCTGGACCCCAAAGTGCTTTAAACATCATTCACACACTGATGGTGCCCTGGGGCACACTGACCAGGGCTGCCACGCACCGGTGCAACCAGACCGTCTGACCACCATCAGTAGGCAAGGCAGCTGAAGTGTCTGCCCAAGGACACAACAACTGAGACGGCTGGAACGGCGGAATTGAACCGGCAACCTTCCAGTTACAGGACGACTCCCCTAACCACTTCACCACAGCCGCCCTAAATGCATTAAAACTGGTGTTTGTCTCTTTAAGAACCTCCTACCATTTCTGACACTTCCTCTTCAGCACGTCTTTACAGCAATGCTTCGGGGGAGGGGTGCTCTGTGGGGCAGGAGTGGTTGTYGTTGATAGTTGTATAAGATATATACTACTTTCAAGATTTGACTAAAGCAAATTCCTCTTTATAGATACAAATTGCCTAAATCTCTGGGTAATATGCATTCCATGAATGCTATGTCTTCAAATGCTGACTAAAATGTTTTTTTATTTGTGTGAACCTTATTATTTTTTATTATCAGAGGTATTTCTGAGCCCACTTAGAGATTTCCACAACAAAGTTATGTTTAGTTTTGTTGTTTTTGTCTCAAACAGTCCTGTCTGAAGGTCCCAAATGATCGCTGCCATCCAGTGTCCGATATCAACCACAACACTGTCACTGCATTTCTTTTGTGGGGGAAAAAAATCTGAATTTTACCATATTTATGTTGCCTTTGCTTGCATAATAATTGCAAACATAACTCACTATGTCAAAGTTTGGGTGATTCTTCATTACTAGTAATTCCTTCAATACACAAGCATGAAACAAGAATTTGGAAAAACGAAACAAGGGAATAGTAATAATTTGCAACGAAGGTAGACATTTCTTATTATGTATTCATTGTTTTTTCAAAGGGTCAGCAATTAAGGTTTTTGTGAAAAATTCTGCAAAGCTTATCAATAAAWAATGATGAGACTATTTACAAACAATGCATCACTGCCTTCCCTTWATTTCCACAGAATATATTTTATTTCTAGTTTAAGGTGTTTTTTTAAAAGAATGTGCAGATGTTATTTATGTGTTTAAATGAACTAATGATATTCAGATATATAGTTTGAAACAAACRTCATAAATTAAATAATGTCTCCATAAATAATAGGCACTGGTTTTAAAGATTGTGGTTTAAAAAAATACATATGAAAACAGAAATGGGCTTTCTTTATTGGAAGGTCAGTGTTTGAAGTCACTGGCTTATTTTAAACATATTGAATGTTATAGATTTGCTGCTACAAACTGCTTGTTTATATGAAAAGTGTATTTATGTGTATGTARGTTTGTGTGTGTYTATTTATTTGTTTAGACATGAGACTTGAACATGTTGGACATGCCTGTGGACACGTCTTCATTAGGCAGAAAGCGTCAGGTCCTACAGACTCATGAGAGCAAATAGGCGAACTTGCTTTGTGGCTGCCAACACTGAATCAACATGATTGTATTGATCCTGGACTCACTTTCTCCTGGAGTCATGYCTGAGAGCTGAGAGAAAAAAACTACTCATTTGTCAGGAAGCTGGGGCCATGAAGACCTGAACACTAGAGATGGAACTCATGAAAGAATCTTATTTTGAAAAAATAAAATAAAAACTTATAGAGGTTCTGTTAAAAATTGAAATATGTGCATTTAGCCAAAAGAGCAACAAAGCAATTTGAGGAAAAAATATCTTGTGCAAAAACACCCTGAGTTTCCTGCAGACCATTCTGCTTTGCTTTAAAGTCAGTGTATGTGTGCACAATGCTGTCAAATTTAGACTAAACCGTTGTTACTTTATATTTTTTGTAAAAGTTTTGGTTTTAAAGGGAAGGGGCATATGTGACTGATAAGCTATAAACTTGAACAATTAGAGCTGGGCGATATGATCAAAATTTTATATCACGGTATTTTCAACATTTTCACCGGTTTCACGGTATTTGACGGTATTTTTCTTTTCATCACAGCTCAGCTGATAATAAAATGTACAAACCCCGATTACTGACTTTTTTTCTTTTACTGTACCTCTGTCTGTGTCTCTGTTTCCCTCCTCTGTGTCTGTTCTTTGACTGGTGGTTGGAGACAGTAGTAACGCATAATGGACAGTCGTGAAGGAGGAGGGTTTAAGAAAAGATTATGATCGGGTTTATTGTTTTATGTTATTTATTAAAGCTTATCAGCACGACTCACCTTGCACACCAGTCAATTCCAACTCCACTACGAGCTACTTCCTGCAGGCTTTTCACAATAGAACCACGTTGAGTCTCCATCAGCATAACGTCTCCATATTAACTAACCACGTTAAATCTAACTGTGCACGTCACTGAAGAGGTTTTACTACGTTCAGCGACGGCGAAAACGGATGTTTTTTTGAACGTCAGTCAATATAAGCAGCGGAATCGCCACCCGCGGCTGCAACTAGCTGCTCCAAACATTAGCATGCTAACACACATAGCGGTGCAGCAAGGAAAAATTTCCCCCAGGGAAACAACAATTCACTGGCGGCCGCGACAAAACGTTTCGCTATTTAAACCGGAATGCCCATTATTCAAAAAATTCATATCATAACAAAAATAAAAAACGGGTATTTGGTACAAAACGGTATACCGCCCAGCACTAATTCTAATAAAAAAAATGTTAATTCTCATTCATTTATGTATACGGAGCCCGCAAGGGGACATGGGGGATTTTTTTTTTTTTTTTTGCGTTCCCACGCAAAAGTATTGCGTTACCTCGCAGTACCTTTTGCGTTCCCTCGCAAAAGCCATTAAACACGGTTGTGCCTGCTGGTTTATTGATAAACTCACATGTTCACCATTAGCGAGTTAGCCTACTGCTTTAATTCAGCTTCAGAATGAATATATCACACAACCACGCATGGAAGTGTGTCAT